TGAGAATCCGTTTCCCACGGCTGTCGAAGACGGTGCCGATGCGGTTCTCTGGCTGGCGCAACACGCTGAGGAGTTGATGCTAGATGCAGATCGCTTCGCCATATCGGGCTTCTCCTCAGGAGGCAACATGAGCTTTACGGTCCCGCTGTGTCTGCAGGGCGAGCTCTTCGACCGAACGACATCTGGCGCCAAGATCATCGATGACCGCGCGGGTAGTGTTCCCAATGCTGTCGTTCAGCCTCCTCCTGCATTTGGCCAAAACCTCACCCCGAACGGCTCCCGCGTCCCACTCGTGCGCCAAAAGTCACGCCTCGATCGCATTGCTATGCTCCGCCAGACAGGCGCCTCCTCGCTATCGCTCATATCCTCATACAAAGACAACTCGGGAGTGTCAGTCATGACGGAGGCGTCCAACACTGTCCTCAAGATCAGAGGCATAGTATCCTTCTATCCATCGATCGATTATACACAAACCCGCGCCCAGCGCCGAGAGACGTGCTCGAGGGTTGACCAGAACCTCCCCGCTGTCTTCACCGATCTCTTCGACGACTCGTATCTCCAACCACCTTCGCTCGATCTTGCACATCCATGGCTCAGCCCTGGTGTGGCACCAAAACACATGCTTGCGGCGCTCCCTGACGACATTGTCCTCTTCTGTTGTGAATGGGACATGCTTCTCGCTGAGGGCGAACGATTCCGCGACCGCCTACAAAAGGATCTTGGAAAGCGCGTGCATTACCACTGTGTACCCGGGGTGCCGCATGGCTGGGACAAGGCGCCTAATCCTCTTAGGGAGAGCCCGGGTGCTCGACAGCAATATATGGTAGCATGTAAAGAGCTGAAGCGTATGTTTGACATTGAGTACGACGAGGACGATTCGCACCAGAATTTGCCATGTAAGCAATATCATAAAAGTGTTGACTTGGGCACCGCGGGTCAGCGGGCGCAGGCCGAAGCATAAGCTGTGGCGTTGTTCTTTACTTTTTTCTTAAAATATGGGTCTTGGGCATGGGTTCATAAGTTTCACATCAGCGGCGTTTGATGAATCTTCGAGAGAGCGATGTTTAGCATACATATGAACCCGTTTCTTCTTCACGTTGCGAAATTTGGCGTAATCTGCCATGTGCTGCGTGATGCTTGCTCCTTCCTGTGCTCTTTCAGAAGTTTTGCTTGCTCACAATTACTACCTTTTGCAAGGCCTCAGTTGTTGCTATTCACTTTGACATTAAGGACCTGAAGGGTAAATGGTTTTGTATTATGATTACTTGCTAAATATTGCGATAACGCTGTATGGATTGTTCATAAAAGAATACCCCATCGCTTTACCCGTACGATTTGATGAAAGATTTGAGACACAAGCCCACGACATTAATCAGAATCCATGCTTCGCAAACTCCTTCTGGGCCCACTCCCACAGCTCATTCGCAAGTTGATCGTTCTTGAGTATTGCCTGCGTGTACTCATTACCATTGCCCTTTGGTGTGTAGAAAGCCCCGTTCTTAACCTCGCTCTTCTTCGCAGTGCTGGCCCACAACTGCGCCTTCGCACCATCGGCAACATTCGTCAAGAACGGTCCAAAGACTACGGAAAGAACCGTACCTAGTACAGGTCTTCTTGTCTTCAGATTATCCCAGATGCCCGTGTTGACAACGCCGGGATGCAGCGCTACAGATGTGATGCTTGGGTATTTCTGTGCGCTGACCTTGCTGAAATAGTAGTTTGCCAGTTTCGATTGGCCGTAACGAGCTACGGAGCTCATGTCCTCACAAGCAGTTGTGAGCTTAGGGAAGAGGATACCCTCTTTGGGCCCTTGCTTGAATAGTTCGGAGCTGAGGTTGATGATGCGAACGTCGCTGTTTGGTTCTTCGGCCGTCTTGAGCAGGAGTGGCAGGAGGAGCTTGGTGAAGAGAGTAGGGCCCATGTAGTTGCTGCCGAATTGGACCTCATAGCCGTCGCTCGTTACGCTTGCAGGGTTACCTGTTGTGCCGGCGTTGTTCATTAGGATATCCAGACGAGTGTTTTCGGTGAGGACGCGATCGGCGGCTTGCTTGACGGACGCGAACGATGCCATGTCTACCTCGAGGTAATGTATCTTTCCCTTTGCTGAGGGAACTGCTTTCTCGATCTCTTCGATTGCTGCGTTGCCTCGCTTGCTTGTCCGAGCTGCGAGATACACTTTGTCTGGGTTGTGCTTGACAAGTTGGAGAACACTCTCTTTGCCGAGACCGCTGCTGCCGCCTGTCACAACGATGACCTTTCCCGATAGGTCGGATATGTCTTTTTCGGGGTTGAAGTGCATATTGCAGTTGGTGGATCCGACACCTGGGTATACGGCAGCTTGTCGTTGTAGAAAGATAAAGGATAAATTCGGCGAATGCTAGTATTTGAGGAGGGATGAGGTATTGCAAGGATGTACGAAGATACAAGAGACGAATGGTTGAGTGGGACTGATGTTGACGTCTGAGGGTGTGTTATTGAATACATATCTGAAAGTGCCATTAACCTTATATATCGTGTAGTCCAACGACGGTCAACGCGCCGAAGGCCCAAGATGCCGCCTCTAATTCACCGCAGATCTCGTCCGAAAGATTGGTAATTTCACTTTGATTTGAGGAATTCTGGCTACTTCGAGCAAAAGGTCAGAAGAGAAGTCCGACTAGGTGGTTGTCCGAGGTATCGTCTTTAAAGTTTCGGCAACACTCGTGACCGGTCGGGCAAACATGTCCCCGCAGCCTTCCATCGACCACCATGAATGTTCTGCGCTACAGTTACCTTAGCGCCTACTTGTGGTATGTGGTCAGCTAAAACTGCGCCTGCAGCTGTCCAGGAACTCAAGTTCTGTCCCGGCGCAATGCGCGATAGAGCGAAACTCTTCTCGAGTAACTTGGAGTCGACTTTGCGACGAATATCGTTTTGAATTACGTCAGAGGTAGCCTCGTGGTGTAGAAGTAAGATTACTGAACTTGCTGTCGGATGGTCCCGAGGCCTGCTTCAAAGTCTCTGCGGACTTCTCTCGAGTGCCGCACGGACGTTAAGTGGATTTGTTGATTAATCAACACTTCCATTGCGTCCCGAACAGAGTCGATAAAACGCATTGCAGAACCTGTCGCTGTGCGGTGTTCGATATACGCTTCGATGAACGTGCAATTCATCCGGCCGAATGAGATACCCGAAGGAAGGCATCATACAGAAACCGCGGACGTCCGAAGCCATCATATTCTATTGGATCTACGCACAAGTTTCGCACTTGAACTACTTTCTCAAAGGGCGGGAACGATGTATGCACGACGCATGAAAGTTGCGAGCAAGTTCGACCACGTAGAAAGAGAAGAGAAGATGGGCGTGGGTGCTATGGCCAACTCGGAATGTGGAGATGGTCCTGAAGTCCAACTGCGACTTTTGTGCATGCTGCTACATAGGGAGCGAGGGTCGAAGATATGTTGCCAATCGGGAGCCAGTTCGCGAAGCCATTAAGAGTTTCAATTAATCGTCCAAGTCCGTCTGCGTCAGGCGACGAGGAGCGAAGTTCGAAAGAGGTGGGAACAAGACTCGCCAGCTTTGCCTCCCGATGAAGCAGCAGAGGCAGACACCAACTGGAACGGTCCTACGCCGCATCGACAGAGGAGTCTTGCATCAATTCCTGCGATGCATGCGTTCGAGACTGCGACATCCTTTCCTAGATTGACAGCAGGGTCATCGATATGTCGTAGATTCGTAAGGGATGTCCAGACCGGTATATCGGTTGCTTCTATATGTCGCAGGGGATTTGATCCGGCACTTGTGGATGTGGGCACGCACGACGTGTGCTGGAGATGTTGGAGGAAAGTCGTTCGATTAGCTGCACAATGAGCATGCAGAGTGTATCGGCACATTAGGCGAGCAAGCTGTGGGGTTGCGGCAAGTACAATGCTTATACTCGCCTTCGGTATGTCCTCTGGATTGAGCGTTCACAGGTGCATTGCGTTTTGCATACTGGGCGTGTTGGCCGCCTAGACAAGGTCGCGTGAGTGCCTGAGGCAGGCCAGACCGTTCATGCCTCGTTTCAATCATCTGTCGCGCGTATACATGCCTGTCTGATTAGGAAGGCGGCGACACCTCGTCCGCAATCTTGGGTAAGTAAGCCCGAAACGTCGCGCCGTATCCACACATGATGTGTTGGGGTCTCATTTCCCAGCGATCATAGGTGGGCGAGGACTTGTTGCTTCAGCGTGGCCCAGTGTCGCAGCTTCTCATGTTCCGCATGTGCACCTCAGCTTGCGTCTTGCAAGAGCAGACGTCAGTTTTGTTGTAGGTAGCCTCGTTGCACGGTGGGCGGGCTCGTTGACGGTTGATAATCTTACCACAGCCAGTGAAGTCGGTCAGATCGTCTTGGCGGCGGATCGCGAAATTGCTCCTCGGCCCAGCGTCGTCTTGAAACCACCTGGCCAAGGTTGGTGCATCCCAACCCTGCAGCATTTGTCGCTTGTTCCCCCCGGTATCGTCACCCTGCCACGGCGCAGACGAGGTGATCCTGCCAAATGCCATGGGTCCCGTTGGCGCGACATGCCGCAGAGCCAATCGAACCACCGATCTCATGCAGCGCATTACCCTGGTCCTGGCTCCGCAACGGGCGGGTTCTCGACTCTGCAATTTCTCCCAGACGCCCCGAAAGTGGATGAGTGATTGCCGCTGGTATGATGACAGCGAAGTGTGGAGGCGCCAGGCTCGTTTCCTGGCGGACCGGTGGTGATACTGGCGCACATTCCGCCGTTCTCTGCATCTCTTCCTTCTCTCAACCTCTCCACGACTGTGTCGCGGCCTGTTCCATTTCTTTGGCTCACTAGAGCTGTCCATTCCTTTACAACCACGCCTATATCTTCCTGTCTTTCCTTCATACTCACTATACCTTTACTCTAACGAATTTGAAACCCAAGATGCCCGGGATGCTTACAAGGTCGAAGTCATTGAGGTTTCTGAGAAACAATCGCAGGGACGCCACGGAGCAAGACAATGGGGCCTCAATGCCGCCTGTTAAGGGTTCTCAAACAGGCGTTGACAAATACAAGCCCTCCACTTCCGATTTGAGCACCGAAGTAAATCTAGGAGTCCCAGGCACGGCAGTGCGGCCAAGCACATCGAGTGGACCTGGAGAGCGTCCATTCATGTTCCATAGGAAAACAAATCTTGCACCATCGATCTATTCTCAGGACCATATCCACTCGTTCCAATCGCCTACTACTTCCACAACTGTACTCTACAGTCCAGACGCCACGAAAGAACGAGGGGTCATTGGTATCGCTCTTGGGTCACCCACCTCAGGTTCACACTGGAAATCAACGCCTGAGGCTGCGGTACCAACAACCGACTCGAAACCCGCCCATTCTCCAATGGCAACACTAAACCACCCCAACGACTCTTCGGCTTCGCTGAGCAGCCGTGTTGAGGCGCCCAAGTCCAAGATCAGCCGATGGAAGTCGTTGTTTCGTAAAGCGCCTCCTCCTCAACCAGAAAAGCCATCGTTCTATCAGCTGGCGCAGACCGTTGCCGCGGCACCTCGCGCAGACAGCCACCATGACGAGGAAGCCAATGAGTCCCAGGCAGCTCGACCAGAAGAGAAGGAGAGGGAGAAGTTGCGCAGTGTGTCACCGCCGACCTATAGGCCGAATATCCGAGCATCGCGGAAATGGGCTCCAGGAGAGTTCGTCCCACCTCAGTCGCCACCGGAGACGTCTGCGACCCGAGACCGTGCTATGACGCTCGGAAATATGCCGTCACATGGGCCTAAGAAGTCTATGCAACGGTCTTTTACAACACCTGCTCTAGGAGCGCGAGGCGTTGCAGGCGAGGTCCCACCTGTGCCACAGGTTGAAGTATCGGGCACAACCAACAAAGCACTACCACAGAATCCGACCGGGTCCGCAGATGACGGAGGGCCGCTTCTGGACGTCAGCCTTCCCGATATCACAATGGAAAGATACAGCGTCATGTTCGGAAACCTCTTGCAGTCCGACCCGAACCGATTATCCCTCTTGGCAAGACGGCAAGGCAACACCGAGAAGATCAAACCGCTGCTAGAGCTGTCTGCAAAGGTATGTATCCGCAGGTATGGCTATTTTCAACTAGGCCTAACGTGAAAGTAGGACGATCAGAAGGACGAAAGTCCCGTAGATTACAGTCTTCAGCGCAGGGTTACGTCGCCCGCTCCAGCGTCTGGCTCACCACGACTGTCCCTATTTCCGTCCACCAACCCCGGCCGCGCACCGTCACCTCTGTCAGGATCTATCATGAGCCGTAGCAAAAAGGATCTGAAGCGGTCCCGGACGATGCCCACGAAGTCTCCCCTTCAGCAAACTTTCGCTCAGAATACAGAGAACACGACCAGACAGATGGATTCTACCAAGCTGAAGCCTGTAGCATCTCCGTACCTGAAGCCAGCATTGACCCCTACCTCGATTTGCAGCTTCGAATCTGAGGCCGAATCGATCACGATCATAGTCGCCCAGGCATCACCCGGTCATCCTAAACCGATTACGTTGCATCTTGACGAGCGAGAGCCTGAATGGGAGATCTGCACGAAGCCAGTGAGGGCTCTGAAAAGCGAGACCCTTACAGTCAACAGCGAGCCGTCGTCGCCACTAATCCGCTCGCCCTCGCAACAGCAGCCGAAGGTGACCAAACTCAGCGCGCTGTCATCGCACCCGTCTTCTGCACCTCTTGACGCACCCTCCCCACTGCAGAGGTTGCAGAGCTTGTCAACTCCACCACACTCGGCCAGTAGACACGGTGAGAAGCGAGCTGAGATCCAAGCAAGGAGAAGGGAGGGAAAGACAGAAGAAGTCGGCACAGCGAAAGCCATGGTCGGCGTCGCAAGAAGTGTATCTGTCAGCAGAGCGAATAGCCCAAGAGGCGTGGTTCGCACTTTGACGAGTCCGCACGAGGATCGTGTGGTGGATCGATTGGCCCTCACCCCCACGATGGTGGAAGTCAGGAACCGGAAGAGCCAGAGAGTACAGCTCGAAGATGCATAAGCTTTGTCTCTTCATTCACTTCTATAAACTTTCGAGAACATCTCATTCTTCTTTTTTTCGTTTGTCCTTCTACGTTGAATCGCGTTTCTAGCGATCGGGACTTGGTATTACTAGGGCGTTGTGCGCTGATACACCGAGAGTTGCAAAATGTACTCGCGTGCCATTTGGGTTTATGCGGGTTGTTTCTTATAAGCGGGGGTCGTTCTGGTTGCATTCTCCAGGATATCCCTGGACTTCTTCATGTGCGGATAGGGATGATTCGAGACGTACTGCTGGTCGGTGAAAGGATAGGGTTAGGCGAAAGACTTTGGTACCGCTAGAAGGCCTGCAAGTTTGCGAATGGAACTTTCAACACCTATCACTGCGCTTATTGTCACTTTGTCGCTGACTAGAGCCTATGAGTTTTGGGCTCCTGCTGAACGCTGTGCGTCCCGAAACCCACATTCCTGGAATGGGGCCGAGAGGATCGACCGGTGAACCGGCAGAATGCATCGCATCGGCGCTGTTTCGTATGTATACAGGGTTGCGAACGCTTTCGATATGTATTCTGGTACTGCGAAAAGCTGTCTAGAAAGAATGAGCATTCGGTTGAGTGTGTTCTGGCACAGACTTCTCGCGCGTACTCTTCGTAGGCAGGCATGGCACACGGTCGCAGCTACCGTTTGGAGAAGCGTGGTGGCTATGGCGCGAACCACCTGGCCACCCCCGCTCGGGAGCGGAAGCAGGAAGGCGCACCATCATCTCACTGCCGTCCACCCAGCAGACTTCAGCCAAAGTGACCGAGCTCCAGTCTCTCGTCTCCGAGACCTACAGCGCACACTACCTAGGTACATGCTGAATTCATTCCCTGCAAAGAAGGCCGGCTCTCAAGCAACTTTCGGGGTGTGGCCCTCACCATTCAGCCCCCACCTCTTGGCGAGCAGCAGGCCTCAAGCCTCACCCGTCACGATAGGCCCTCATACTGGCAGCAGAGCGCATCTGTCAAATTAAGAGCCGGACTAGTCAGAGATGTGGCTGCAAAGAAGTCACCAGCCAAGCCTTTCCTGCTTTACGATACAGTATGCCACTCGCTTCCAGGCTAGACGGCATCACACAGCCCGCCTGGCCTGAAGCCATCGCTACTCATCATTGGAGCGGCCGCGCTAGATAGCACAATGAGCGCTGCACCTCGGTCAAGCAATACTGTCGCCTACGCCTGGCTCAGCAAAGGCTTAGCCTAATGTAAACAGCGGTCGCAGGCCACCCAGTCAGACTCGAGAGAGGCGGAGTACCGATGGGAAGGAACCCTCTTCAGCCTTCTGAGGGACTTCCCCTTCTCACTTTACAATCAACCTATTCTATTTCAGCTTGGCTATCGAATCCATTTCTTTCGGCCTGCATCGCATCATCTCACGCGACGGTTCTACGTGTAGCTCTGCTTCCTCTCGTACTGATTGAGCATGTGTTAGAAAGGCCCATCACCGCGCGCAGTTGATGATTATCGCAGGCCTAGTCAGCCCTAAATCCGAGGATCAGTCGAGACTTCCGGTCCCCAGCCTGCTCGGGCTCAATCATCATCGATCCAACGAGAACCAGCACCAGAAACCAGTGGAAGGCTTCGCACTGATGGTCTCAACACGATCTGGGACCGCTATCTAGCCAACCAGCAAAGCACAACGGCTGCATTCAAGCGAAAATAACTCGTTAAAGAGAATGTCCGGTCTTGAAGTAGGTCTGTCCCTTTATGCCCTCGAAATTCTTCAACAGATGTGCGTACGCGACCTCTTGAAGGGCATGAATACAAGCTTTCTCTTCTGACTGTTGCTCACAATTCCTCAGATAGTCGCAGCAGTGTCTGCTGTTGTTTCAGCGTTCCACGGCGGATCAGAGCTCCTCAAGCTCGTCAAACAGAAACGCCGCGCTCGCAAAGCTCGCGATCAAGGTCAGCAAGAATGGGAAGAGGAGCAGCTACAAGCTTCTCTTATCGCTGGGGAACAACAGATCGATCTGAGATATAAGCAAGATCAGAGAGAGTTGGGTGACTATGTGCGCATTGGTGATGGTAAGTTCCACGAGAGAGGCTCGTATGGTGGGCTTGAAAATTAAGACATGCGCACAGATACCGCTCGGGAACGTCTCTACCACATAGGCTTCATGCTGCAGGCCGAAATCATCAACAGCTTACGGCAAGCCGCTACGAAGTGAGTACTCCAGATGTTTGGCATATCGGGACAGAGCTAACACTGAGCCTTCAGCGAAGTTTGTGTGCTTAATCTGCATATCCTCCACGAAGCCTCCATTACGAACCGAAAAGAGACTCTGACGACATTGGACGAGCTGAAACAAAGAATCTACATAGCAAAGCCGATGGTGCGACCGTTGAGGGCGGCCAGTGAGGACTATAAGGACATGTCAGTTGGCCCGAGGCATACCCAGATGCGTTCACTGTCAGATAGCTACCCGACCGCAAGCTTTCCAACGCAGAACGATTTCGGTTATACCGGACACAGTCTGTCCGACTATTGCCGGCCCCAAGACACGTCGAGAGCATCTCGACCGGCCTATACCCCAGCACAAGCTGCGGAGCCTGACTTCATTCTAGCTCTCGACAGACTTCGCCCTGACGATCGCGCATCGATTATGAAAGATATCCAGCACATGATTAGCTCTTATCAAGGCCTTAGCGTCGAAAACGGGTCAAGACTAGCAAAAAGTCACAGGCATAGTAGTGCCCAACCCACCCGCCGAGATACGCTGACCATGCTCAATGACCGAGACGCATACACTGAATCAATGCAAGAGCTGGATCGAAGCCTGAATAAGCTTTCCCATGACTCACCATCGGCTTCCGGTCAAGCGAATACCGTCAGGCCGATGAAGGAGCAGCATGTCTACAATCAACCGAATCTCGCAGGTAGTTCATATTACCAGACAGGAACGCATACACTCCATCCTCGATGGTCTGATACATCTAGCTCTGCGCAGTCTAACGCAGCTTCTCTTGGCCGCAAAAGCTCCAACTCATCGCAAGATGAACATGCCCACCCTCCAGTAGCACCACATGATCAAGACGATGAGACTCGTAGTGCTCCACCATACAGCTCTCCCTATATGGTTACACAAGACAGATATACACCTTCTCCCATTGCACCGCTGGCACCTTTACGCCCTCAATCTCATGCGCCGCCCATCAATACACACAAGAACGACGCAAATGCACCTACGCACATGCCTTGGCCTGGATCGCAACAGCAACGAGATCATTCTCCTTCACTTTCACAAACACCATCTGTACCGTATGCGCAGCCACAGCAAAATCTTGCACCAGCTGAAGGACACCTTGCTGGCCTTAGACAGTTAGTGTACCCTCAGCATTACATTGCACCTGCAACAGAACGCGGCATGGCCGGTCAACGTAGCAACAGCACCTCCCAAGCGACTGCGTATAATTCTCCAACAGCAGCCGCTACTTCGATGCTGGGATCTCCAACTGCAATCTACCCTCGGCACGCTAGTATTACGCCATCTATCGCCTCGACCGACAGTGGAAACTCTATCCCGATTGGCATTCTTCCAGGTCACCACCGTATGCGTGATATCAGAATTGAAACTATCCAAAGCGGACCAGCAGGTGGCGAGAGAATGATGAACGGCCGCCCGAACAAGGACAATGATTACTGGGGTTTTTGCAAGGGCGCCTGGGCTGTCCGCGAAGACCCCAAGAAAGGCATTTCTGTGAGAACTCAGCCGTCCGGCTACTACAACACAAAGCAGATTTGGGGTTGTAAGTCTTGCACCTTTACGGGCGACGTTTTCACAAAGCCACACCCCACAAAGAAGAACAAGACTGTCGAGATAGTGGACCCTCGTGTCAAGATCTCCATGTCCGGGATACGATATCGGTAAGGGTTCCCTGGTATAAACTGCATGTGAGAGATATACTGACTACTTCTACCAACCTTTAGGTGGATATTTCTTGCCAAATCGCATGTAAAGAAGAAGGCAGCAGAACCTAACTCAAACGATGACAACTTCGGCTGCCTGTTTTGTTTAGGACAAGACAAGGTCACGGGCGTTTACGGTGGTGTGGAAACACTTATGAACCATATTGCGCTCACGCATGTGGCGGACATGAGCGAGCAGGCACAAAAGAAAGCCAATTGTATCCTGGGTAGAGTAGCAGGCTATGACGAAGAGTTTGACATCAACGTGCCGATTTTCAAAGAGGCGGAGCTTGCTGGCTAAGTAAGTACACCGGGATCCCGAGCTGGGGCTGGGTGGAACGGCGTTACGGAATCGTATTCGAGGATACCCTTGCTTTTCGTGTATTATGTTGTAACATAAAGACCTTTACGGTGATCTATACCGATCTATCATACGAGCAAAGCACTTTGAATCCCTTTATTATGCAATTTTGACAGAAAAGCTTTCTTCGCCCAGTCTAAAACATGTGTTTATATCTAGCTTTTTCAGATCAAGTACACGATGAAAGCACACGATCAATTCGATTAATCCTGAAGACTAACATCATCATTCGTTTATTTCTCCGACTTCGACGGCTCCGACAGCGACGTGCCTGGCCGCCAGTTTTTGTACCGTTCGGCTTCATCCGCAATGGTATGTGGGACGTGTTGCTGCAGCGCCTGCTCAAAATGTCGCATGTAAACTTTCGGCTCGCTATTGGGGTCCATTGTGTAATCCGTAATCGCCAACTCGATAGCGACGGCGCACAATCCACTGATATCTGCTCCACTGCTCCCGTCTGTTTTCCTGGCAACATCATCGAGATTGACGTCCTCTGCGAGCGGTCTCTTCCGCGTATGGATTTGCAGGATCTGCTTCCGCGCTTCTTCAGTCGGAAGGCCGATGTGGATGTGTGCGTCGAAGCGGCCGGTACGGATGAGCGCCGAGTCGAGAATGTCAGGCCGATTGGTCGCGCCGATGATGAACACATCCTTGAGTGCTTCAATACCATCCATCTCGTTCAGCAGGGTTGTAACGACATTGAGACCGCTATCCTGTGTCTTTTCGCGCGACTTGCCGATGGAGTCGATTTCGTCAAAGAAGATGATGCACGGCTTTGCTGCGCGTGCTCTACGGAACACATCCCGGATAGCTCGCTCGGACTCGCCCACATACATCTTGATGAGTTCAGAGCCTTTGACTGCGAGGAAGTTTTGTTTACTCTCCGTTGCAACGGCTTGTGCGATCAGGGTCTTTGCGCAACCGGGGGGGCCATAGAGTAGAACGCCTTTTCGGGATTGAGGGCCACCGAATTTGATGTCGAGGTCGGGATACTGGAGATGCGATTAGCTTTGAGCCTGGTTGCAGAAGTAGATGAACGCCTAAGGGTGCATCGTACACGGCCGTGGGAGATATAGGGATGACATAGGAATATAGCTTACCTTAAATGGGCGAATAGTAATGGCTTCAAGTACAGCGCGAACGTGATCCAGACCAGCGATATCTGTCCATCGAACCTTGGGCACTTCTAGAATGCTATCTTTGAGGACCGTCGGTTGTACTTCTCCGAATACGGCATCGAAATCTTCCTGACAAACATAGTCTGTTTGCTCAAGCTTCTCGCCAAAGGTGGTCTTTTCTTCCTCGCTTATCGTCTCATCCATCTGTTGTTCGCGTCGGTCTCGGGCGAGAAGACACAGATCGTGGATGTCGCGTCCGACGAAACCGTGTGTGCGCTCTGCCAGCGATGGGAAGTCAAGGTCTCCAAGTTTGCTCGTAGTGCCCAAAATTTGTCGGAGAATATCTTCCCGCTGAGTGGTGTTGGGTGGAAAGAGCTCTAGCTTCGTTTTGAAAGCTGACGGTGATCGAAGTCTGGTATCAACATCGTATATGCTACGCGCTGCTGCTGCGACGACCACTTGGCTACCGCCCAGCTTGGCCAACTCTTCCCGCAGCCTGTTTACAAGTGTCTCAGCTTTTTCGAGAAACCTGTCGAGATTATCCATTATAATCAAGCTCGGTTGGTTGTCACGAGCGTCCTCAAAAGCATCGGATATTGCCTTGGCTTGTCCTTTTGGATGCGTGTCTGGATCTACTCGGTAAACTTCTTGCCATGGGCATTCCGCTAGCCGTTCTAGTAGAAGACTTTTGCCTGTACCCTCGGGGCCGTGTAGTAAGAAAGAAGTAGGTCCACAAAGGCGTACGTCGCGTTGATGAGGTAGAGTGTTTGTGAGGTAAGAGAGGCGTCTGTTCATCGTAGTGATGTGAGCAGAAAGTCCACCGATGCCATCACCCCTTACCTGGAGAATCTGCTTAGAAGCTCTCGGGGTCTGCTGAGTAGGGATATCACCCGTGGTAGTGACTTCAGTAGTAAGTTCGTCGAAGTATGTCGCGTACTTCTCAGTTGGCAGCGGATCAATGTTCTGCACGGTGACACGCAACTTCTGGCTCTTCTGCTTGAAGCCTTTTTGTTGAACTGGAAAGCTGCATCCCGGAAGAATAATGTCAGAGTCCACTGCTACATAGCTGTCAGAAACAGTAGCCAAGTATGATCGTTGACCTACCTAAAGTGTGTCGTAGCCAATACAAAAGTTGCTCATTCGAGCTGAACTTGGCAGTTTGATTTGGTGCGTCTGCGAGACTGATCTCTATGGATTTGAGAGGCTTCCAGGAGTCTACCTTCTCGATGAAGACGGGATCGTTAAGCGAGAGGTCGTATTGCTCTCGCAGAAGATCAGACACCTTGGCGATTGGCTTGTTGCCAGGATTTGTCTGCGAGGCTAGCCAGGCCACTCCATAGCCTTTGAAACCGGCAGCAGTACTCAGCCGTACACAATCGCCATGAACAAGCCCCAACGTTTTCAGCTCTTTCTGTGATAAATGAATACGGAAGGCGCCGCCCTCGAGTGCGTTACTGGGAATGCTCGGAGGATTGCGCTCCAGAGGGCGCAGAGTGTAAGATGTTGCCGGGCTCATATTGTCACCGCGCACTGCAGCAAATGTCAAGACGGGTGGTGAAAATCTCGGAAGTGCTTTGGGTGCGCCGTTGGTGTGACTCACGTCACGTGTGTACTGAAGGCTTCAACTTTGGAAGTCTCTAATTAGCATGCGAATTCATCTCCACCTGTACCTAGGTCCCATTGCCTCTTAGCGCAGCATTGTCAGGGCCCTCCAATGCAGCCCAATGTGGTGAAGGATGCTGGGTGACTAAGCGACCGGGGAGCTAGGCCGGATGGGTGTGCTAGCGCGGGCCCATTCCGAAGCTTTTCTGAGTATCGCGCTCGAGAGAGGGTAGCTTGCCATGTTACGAAGCCGTGCAATTTATGCCACCGCCGCGCCTTCCTCGACATCTTCGGCCATGTCATCCTTCGGGGACCGCGTACCAGATTCGCTGCGCCCACAGGACGACGCCCGCACCGTCCTCGACCGTCGGCGATGAATCCCCGCAAACCACCACTGCCGACAGCCACACAGCAGAGAAGGAAAGCTGGTTGAACAGGGGTTTGATCAGACTTGTACCCTGGACCCGGACTACACCGTCTACCAAATCGCAACCGCCATCGCCGCCGCAATCGCAATCGCAATCGCAAGCCCAGAACCGTCCTACGTCCGAATCGAATGAAGAGGGGAAGGGCATATCCGAAGCACAGACATATGACACTGGTGCTGTGGTGATCAGGAAGACCACTGAATCGCTGGCGCAGCGCCAGCGAAGGGTATTGCATTCACATTCGGGAACACGCCCACAGGACAAGCACACAGGGAAGGCGGACAGTCGAGATCAAGATTTCAAGTCCGCGAGGAAGGCCGAACATACTGTGGAGAGACGCTTGGGCCAGCCAGCTGTTGTAAGGAAGGTTCTGGCCTTACCTGTGTCTCCCGAAACAAGAGAACGTGGACGGAAACACCAAGACCCTATACGCAAAGATCAGAGTAGGCAGAATCCGACCACAAGTAACGAGAAGGAGGTCGCTACAACTCTTCGAGATGACGATACTACAGTCATACGTCAGCAGCTTCAGGGCCTGTTCGAGCAAGTCAAAGCCCTCCAGGCCGCATTAGAAACAAAGATTGCGCTGGGACAGCTGCCGTCTTCGTCCCCCAGGGAACAGGACATACCGACTGCGGCACCTGTTATACCCCGGAACGATGCATACCCTTCCACCCCGATACAGTCGTTACTAGGACATGCTTCAATGAGCGGCGATCCGGTTTCTTTCCGTCATTCTGATACTTCCTATCCGAAGACCCTGTCTCGCACACTTGAGTATAGCCAGAAAGCCCTCCGTAAGTCGGTTTACACATTAGGCAGTGTGGCTACAGAGCTAGAAACAGCACGCTCTCTAGCAGTGGCCCCAGTTACCCGACATGCTCGTGACTGCATACGCGTATTGGATGAAGACGCAGCAATCGAGGGTGACTTTGAGCTTAAGCAGGCTCTAAGAGCGTCATACAGGAACTGGGAATTGCTCCACGCGGAACAAAAACACTCTGCTCGCGTGAATGGGCGACCGGATCTACTCTTGAAGCTACACGTCAGCGACATAAGAGCAACGTCATCCAAGATTGGCAGTAGTGTGAAAGAGCTGAAAAAAGACCTTGCTCGTATTTCACCAACCACGCCAAGAGCGCCGAAACCAGTACTCCCGTCGGTGGAAGAGTATCGCCGGCAAGCCCGCGAACATGCCGAAAACGTGAAGAAATTCCCGAGAGGCTCTGAGCTAAAAAGCTCAGAGAAGAAGATTGACAGCGAGAGGTTGACGCGAAGGATTCATACACAGTCACGCCTAATGAAGTCGTCAGACGGCTTGAGCGCCACTACTGAAGACGGTGACGGAAAGAGTACAACGACCGAGCAATCTATGAGGACATCGCCGCTTTTGCAGCAGAAGCCAGAGGTTAGCCCATCCACTACTGCCAATCTATCACCAAAACCAACACGGGGTACTGCCGAAATGAGTGAGCAATCGCTTCTTGAAGAACTCTTCCCGGAGGCAAGCACTACTCTGCAACCTCGTCAGCCCGAGCAAAGCGATAGGTATCCCAAACTCAACCTCCCGGACTCAACGCCTATCGTTCGTCGGGAAGTTTACGACCCTACTCCGTCACTCAAAGAGCAAGTGGTCAATTCGTTGCGCAAGCAGGGGGAACAAATTACCGTTCTTCAACTCACGAACTGTAGCACTGAGCTGACTGAAGCCGACTTCCGTCGCATCATACCAAAGAGCAAGCACATTGAGGGTTGGCATCGAGATGGCGATCTTTATAAGATTGTGCCTGGT